TAACTCATGATCTCAACTATTGAAATATATATTAGACTGGAGAGTTTTCGTGGAACTCCTCAACAGTACACATCCACTGTCTTTCACATGGGATTCCAACCTAAAAACCTGCAATATCACGCTTTAATACAACGTTATAAATGTTATGTACATAGAAATAACTCAATTAATCACTATCTGTTTACAAAGGATTAATTAACAAATTCAATATTGACATATATATTTACTTTGATTGCCGTTATATGTCTATTTCAATGATAAATATAATTTTATCAGAATGGAATAGTAGAAGAAGTGTTTTCATTACTAGTTAATCAAATGTAAATATATCGGAAGGGGATTTTGTGAACATTGTAGTAATAGTAATAGTTGAGATCATGAGGCATTGAAACTAGACCACTATGATAAACATGGAAGCACTGGATGGCCATCTCATCCCATTGTGGGATTTCTCAGGAGTGCTCATCCACGATCCTGCTTCGCGAGATTCAAACCCAGGAACTATCTGTCTTGCGCGTGAGCGCTTAACCTCTAGACCACTAAGCTGGACGTCATCGAATGATGTGGAACATTCACCATTGTTATCAATGAGTTAACATCTCATAACAGACCCGGTTGAACTCCACTGGTCACTGCTTCTCACTAGAAATTCAGGGATTACTTTTTGAAGCCAGTCATTAGTGAGCATATGTTGATTGATATTTATAGGCAAATAGTAAAATAATTTATTCACTGAAGGAATCCTTTTGAATGAGTTCATTCTCAAAGATCTATAATTGAATATATATGGTAACTTGTGGTCAGAATGAGAGTTTTCGGAGATTGTAGTCATTTTAATAGTTGAATTTTGTGAGTCAATATTATCCTTGATTAGTCAAGTCCAATCCTTATCGTGTAGAGATAGGTATCTACCTGAGAAAATAAATGAATGGTTAAGTATGATCAAGGATCGATTGAAGTTAGACATTAACACCGTTGGATGTTGGTTTAGTGGTTCATAGGTTAACAGTTCGTGTGGGAGACTGAAGGTCCTAGATTTCATTACTTGTGATGAGGTCATGGGTGCATATTGCTTAGAAATCCCATACTAGAACGAAACGGCCGTCCAGGTTTTCAACGGTGGTGTAGCTTATATTGACTCATGAATCATTGGTTGTATGTGAAATTCGAACAGATAATTTTAAATAAACAATCATTTTTCAGTATCGGTATAATGGAGATTGTTGAACGTTTTTAAGTTCATGAACAGATTTAATTTAACGAGATTGATTCAATTAAAAATTGTACAACTCTAGATCTAGGTTCACTGTTCTAGAGTTTAACCATTTATGCTTGACATTGAAAGTCCTGTGTTTGATCTTCAGTGACGAGGTCGTGGAAGAGCAATGACGAGAAGATCCATACTAGGACGAAACAGCTGTTCTATGCATCCTGGTCTAGCCTAGATCACTTAATGATTAAACAAATACTTCTTGAGGAAAGAGATTTACGAGGCATAAGAGATACATTAATAATACGGTGAAAAGTTGAAATATCATTATCTTTAGGTCAAAATGAAGATTTATGAATAATAAAGGGAAAATTAGACTTACTGTTCTCGTATCCCCATTTCAATAGTCATTAATTATTTACTTACGCCTCTTAATCCCAATGGAAGATAAGCCACCGACCAGCATTTTTCAATCCACTCTGTCATAGGCCTTCCTTTCTAATTCTATCCAACATTTGTTCATTATTCTCATATCTGTCTACAATTCTCGGTGTAATGTGTTCTTTGATCTTCTTCTTTTCCCTTAGCCTTCAAGATTGCATGTGAGTGCTTGTCTTGTGATGCATTTGGGTGATTTCCTCAATGTGTGTTTTACCCATTTCCAGCACTTCTTCCTCATTTCTTCCTCCACTGGATGGAATCTGGTTTGTTGTCTCACACAGTAAGTTGTTGCTGATAGTGTCTGGCCAACGGATCTGAAGTATTTTGCGTAGACAGCTTGCTAATAAACACTTGTATCTTCTGGATGATGGCTTTCGTAGTTTCTCAGATTTCCGTCTCATACAGTAGAACTGTCTTGACATTTGTATTGAAAATTCTGATCTTGGTGTTGGTTGACAATTTTTTCGAGTTTCAGGTGTTCCTCAGTTTTAAATATGCTGCTCTTGCTTTGCCGAATCGTGCAGCCATATATTCATCGGATCCACCATGTTCATCGATGATGCTGCCCACATATGCTGCATGAATTGGAGAATCCTGCTTTTCCCTCTCTATATATTGAAACCTACTTCCGCTGAGAATGCTGCTACACTAGCCGTCTTCTCCTGAATTTGTTTTTGCGTGTGTGATAGAAGAGCCAGATCATCTGCGAAGTCTAAATCGTCCAGCTGCATCCTAGCTGTCCATTGTATCTTGGGCTTTACTCCAGATGTTGACGTCTTCATAATCCAGTCAATCACCAGGAGAAATAGAAAACGTGGGAGTAAACAACCTTGTTTGACAACGGTCTGTACTTCGAACGAGTCATCCAACTGTCCTCCACGCACGGTTTTGCAGTTTAATCCATCATAGGATAGTCGTTGTTGTCCAACCTGCGTTCAATATGTACCACCGATCCCAAGCACCTTCAGGCTATATTTTTTTATTTCTGCAGCAATTTGGAAGACTCTCCCAGTTTCTCACATCGTCCGAATGTTCCATTTACCCATAAAAATTGTTGCTCTAGTTTTTAGAAAAGGCATCAGCTTTGTGACATCTGAAGAACCTCGACTTTCACCATGAGGCGTCATAATTATTCCTTCAACTCCCAGGACAGAGTTAAGATGGTTTGAATACTTTTTCCTGGTTAGCGTGTTCTTAGCAAGTTAGTTTTCTACAAGATGAAGTTGCTAACCCCTAGCTCAACCGCCCTTCTATATTCGAGCTTTAAACCGACAGTAGCCCCTGGAGTGGCTACAGACGGAGTTATTTCAGTAGTCATAGTTACACTTTCTATCAATCGTTTAAATATCGCTCAATGATATATGTATGCTTTAATCTTATTAGTTGCTGTTGGTTCGCCTCACTTCAATTCAATTCGATTTGATCATGAATTCAGCTTTGTATTCGCTTCTTCTGAATTTAAAAAAACAAACACCAAGAGAATTCAAACTTAACCCCATTGCATAAGCAAGTGGCTATCAGGACTCAGTAGCCAAATGGATAACGCTATGGCGTTTGAAGTGAACAATAGTGGATTGGAGTCCCCGAGTCAATATCAATTCTGAGATGCAAGTACATACATCTGACGAGTCCTAAATAGAATGAAACAAGTGTCCTGAATTCTACTGCTAGCCCTTGCCCACCTTTGCTTAGAATGCTTGTGAACTAAGGCATTATCGAGGGAATACGCACATTAAGCACATATGTCAATAAGAGACTGATAAATTGAAGTCCTAAACATCAATGGAAAAATTCAATCAAACAATACTAAGTGAATTTAAACTTCATCTTATTGTACAAGCAAGGGCGAGACTAAAGAACATGGACGACCTTTGAACGAATCTTAAATGACCTTGAGAAATATTAGCCAATCAGAAGACAGTTAGCATACAGTAAAAATATATTATATAAAACTCAAAAATTAAATGGGATACTGTTCTTTTACATGAATCAAAAACTTATCAAGGTTAGATATAGGTTCAGAAGTTCTAAAATCATAGTGCATCCGGCACAGGAATTCATCTCTGTGGCTCCATAGTAGCCAACCTCTGAAACTATGATAAAGTCCCGAAAATTCTTTCAGCCCCGACCACATAGTTTCAGTGTTGTCGGTATGTTGGTATGGTTCAGGGTTTAAGATTAGGGTTAAGGTTTAGGGTTAAAGATGAGACTATGAATTATGGACGACATTTGAGCGACGCTAGAGTGAATCTGAGAGTGTAAACGTAATAACTAAGACTAAATGAGGGTTATAAACCTTTGTTAAGAATTCAAATTATGATTTACAGTTCATGGTTAAGGTTAGGAATTATACTTAGGGTTTTCATCACGAACTGACATCAACTATAACGCCACAACTCTATCCAAATGTATGATTGAGTTTTGCGCCAAAATCTTATGATAACTTATCTTGTATATGCTTATTTATCATGTTTTCTCTAAAATCCGTTGTAAACCGACCGTATGTAAGCATCAGGTACCGAACTTAGCGCCGTGACCTTGAAAACCCACGAAAGCTTCTGATTGGCTCGTCCATGTTCTTTAGTCTCGCCCAAGCAAGCGGCTAACACAACTCAATAGTTAAGTGGATAACGCGATAGCGTTTAAAAAAAAACAAAAGGTACTGGGTTTCAGTCCAAGAGTGAACATCAACTCTAAGATGCCAATTCCATTTAGCTGACAAGTTCCAAATAGGACAAAATGCTTGTCAAACTAAATTTTACTACTAACCACTATCCATCATTGTTTATAATCACTATAATTATCATAATCATTATATCATGAATCTAAGCTATTATAATCAAATTCCTTTATGTTCTATTACACATATATAGATGAAATTAAACAAGCTAATTCTAATGCCAAATTGATTTCACTATATCCTCCCATCAACGTATTAAGAAATATACACTAATCTATCTATCTATCTATCTGCCAGTATATTGATACATGGCGTCGTTGAAACTCCTTATAACGTAATTGAAATCTAAGTATGTCGTAAATGAATACAAATTACTATATTAACAGTCATAGTAATAATAATAATAATAATAATAATGGTAAGAGTAATCATAGTACTAGCACTAATGGCACTAACAATAATGTTACTAATAATAGTAATAATACTAATGTCTGTATAAGCTTATAACTTGTAAATGGATATACAATACAACATAATACTAGTAAACATTAAGACATTACTACGTATATGTATATATATATATATACTAATATAGATTAGGTTGTCTCGAAATTGGATACTTCAACATAACAGTATACCTACTCTATTATTGACAAAGTCTTAAAAATTATGTTAAACAAGTTGTTATTACAATTATTCATCTTATTAACAATCACTATCATTCATGATGTGAAATGTGAGTTTTGATTTTTCTTCTTGTTTTTTATCCTCCGATTTTAATCCAAGACTTATCGGTCTTATTAGTGACTGACTTAAAAGTGATATTTCCTGAAGTTCTAATGAGAAAGGAGTATACAAGGGAATTCAATCAGGTCTGTTATGAGATAGTAACTTATTAGGGATAATGATGGATGTATTGCACAATTTCGTGTATTACTTATAATTAGACATTGACACTATTGGATATTGGCAAACTCAGTGGTTCTAGAAGTTAAGGGTTCACGCACTAGGCCGATTGGTCTTGAGTTTGAATCTTGTGAAGTGGGATTGTGGGCGTTCACTTTTGAGGAGTCTCATAATGGGACGATTATTGGGTAACAGAATTTCAGTATTCCAAGACTTCATACGATAAACGCAGTTACTTTGACAATAGTTTGTTGTGAATTGAAGACATAAAGAGACAATTATATTTGAAGGTTGATCTAATATTATTATTATGATGCATGACAAGATCAAAATATTGAACTGCTAAACAAATATTATTTGATGTAGAGTTAGATGACGGATAACAGTGAGATTTGGGATACGTATCTCATCATTTGGATATACTTCTATCACAGAGTTGATGTTCACTCTAGGACTCGAACCCAGTAACGTTTACTTCAAACATTATCACGTTATCCATTTACCTATTCAGTCTAAATAGATACCAGCTTGTGTAAGGGGGTGAAGTTCAAATAATTCCATACAACAATTTATCTAAAACAAACCATACTTTCATAGTTCAAAGAGTGAATCAATTGAAGCTAGACCATCAGGGAAAACCTGATATCATAGAATTTGGAATTCACTATAGTAGTGTGTTTAAAGAAGATATATATTGATATTATCAGAAGAGGTTTTTATGGAGATTTAGTATTTTCACGAGGCGAGGTCATGGATGTGCACTGCTGTGGAGTTCCATAATAGGATGAAACGGCCATTCAGTGCTTCCAGGTCTAGCTTCAATTGACCCACCCTTTCAACTATGAAAATATATAATGATAGTTTGAAATGACTGAAATGACATTCCCAGTAAAAATTATACGTTCATACACATTCATACTTACTCAATAATTAAAAAGAAAATGTCAAGTCATCTAGATTAGTGGCTTCATTAAAACTTAGTCGATAGGATTCGATCTACACTTAGAAGGACTTAACATACATGACAATGATCACCGCCCAGTGATCAATCAATTGTAAAATGTACTTCTCTTAAATATTGAAAAATAGATAGATACCATCATGCATTGATGTATATGTATAAATCACTTCAATGCTAAATTTAAAGGTGGTGGTGAAGAAGAAACAAGTAAGTTTGTTTGTTTATTTTAATTGGAGAACTACGCTCCATGTTGTTATACTACTTATTAGTAGTTAAAAATTTACAGTGAAATATATACATATATACACAAAAAATGTCATTTCATTTAATTGTGTGAGGGCTATGATACTGCCCGGGTGCCTAGTTCGAAGGAGGTGGTTTTCTTAAGAAGGCACACTCGGAGCTTTTGATCTAAAGGTCTGATCCACAAGGTAGTGGAGCATCGTGAAGAGATGCAGTCCCATGGTAGCCGGTGACCAACAATTGATTCATACGCCATTTGTTAACTCAGAATACTTGAACCCATGTGCACCATTGATTTGGAATGAGGGTTTTCCAACTCCCCTAAGTGGATTATCCTTGTCCGCGTAACCGGTTAAAGAGCCGAACATTCTCTTTTCGATCTCTCAATATTGTAAATAACATTCGTGGTGCCAGATGTCAGTAAGTAGGACTTCCCTGACGGTGGATGTATACGTGTGGCCATGTAAGAGCATTTCGAGAGAGAGAGGGTGGACTTTCGCCACTCTCTACCATACCAGGGCATAATATATTTGTATAAATGAAACAATGAAATTATAATTTGTTATTTTTATAAATTATTCAAATTCTAGTTTACATTTGTGTATAGTTATTGAAAAATAAACACATTATTAGTACTGTAGTGAACGAGAACGTACAATTGGGGATAACGACCCCGCATATGAGATCCTATGTTGGAACGAAAGGGCCGTCCAATACTATCAGATTTTCAATGATGGTCTAGCTTAAATAGACTCATGAAATCAACAATTATCTGTAAAAGACATTATAACTGTATCCATACAATATAGATACAGATGTCAGATCATTCAAACACCTGATTTTGTCGTATTCAATATCCTCATTGGATGAAACTGAAACTTAAAAAAAAGCATTGAACGACAGGGCCGACGACATCACAAAAGTTTAATACGGCATTTCTTCGGGATATTGAGAGACTCAACGAGTTCAAAATAGCTCTCAGTAATAGGTTCCAGACATTCTACGATCTACTCAATGAAGGGGGAGCTACTATAGAGAACAACTGGAAGGAGATCGAGGAGGCAGTCACTTCAACATTTTATGAGGTTCTAGGTGCACAAGAAGCACCATCACAAGGAATGGATCACAGTTGATACACTAGATAAGATTGAAGAAAGGAGGAACAAGAAGGCTACATTCTATATCAACCGAACAAGACCAGAAATAGACAAGTCACGAGCTGAATCCAAAGAAGTAAACAAGCAAGTGTAGTTACTTAAATCCATTAATGATGAATGTTTAGATGTATAACATTTTCTTTCATACATACATCGTTTTCATTTCTATTAAAGCTACTACTCCATTACGTATGTTTACTTTAGTTAATTTTTATATTTTACATGTTGAAACTTGTTACTGAATTGTATGACATATGATATATTAGATGTCTCACATTGTATATAAGTAGTATTTACAAGTAGCCATCTAACCTATGAGGAAGGGGTTGGACTCATTTCATCAATCAATCAGTTTACTTTTCGTTCAAGTCAGTTGAAAATACTTTGCTTCATTGTTATATTGTTTATTTGAATCTTCCTCTTTGATGTAAGCAAAGATGGATCTGGTGGATGGAATCCGGTTTGACGCGCATTTCGTCCTATTCGGGACTCGTTATCTTACAATGCTTGTGAATTAAGGCTATATCGAGGCAATACGCACAGTATGCACATATGCCAATAAGAGACTGATCAGTTGCAGTCTTAAACATCAATGGGAAGATTCAAACAAACAATACTAATTGAATCTTCCTCTTTGATGTTTAAGACTGTAATTGATCAGTCTCTCACTGATTGATATATGTGCATCGTATGAGGATTGCCTCAGTATTGCCTGAAGTCATAAGTATTGTAACCAAAGATGATTGGTGGCTAAACAGTGGAATCCAGGACGCACGTTTCATCCTATTTGGAGCTCTACATCTGAATATACCTGCATCTCAGAGTTGATATCCAATGCGGAACTTGAATCTAGTATCGTTTGCTTCAAACGCCATCTCGTTATCCACATAGCTACTGAATTCAGATATCCATCAGCTTGTGAAATGGGATGATGTTTAATTTATTTTTGTATTATATTAAAGTGATACTAGCCATTTTCATGTTCAATATTCTTTGAATTATTCCATTGATAAACAGTAATAAACGTCAACAGATACTGGTCCTTGCTAGTGACATATTCAAGAATAGAAGATATCAGTTTCACTCTTGAGTTGTTTATCTGAAGAAGTTTATAACTAAACATTTTCTTCTCTCTATATATATTACTGAATTAAATTCACTTAGTATTGTTTGTTTGAATCTTCCCATTGATGTTTAGGACTGTAACTGCTCAGTCTCTTATTGGCATATGTGCATACTGTGAGTAGTGCGATGGAGTTTGAAGCGAAAGGTACTGGGTTTAAGTCTCAAAGTGAACATCATTTCCGAGATGCAGGTACATCCAGCTGACGAGTCCCAAATAGGAAGAAACGCGCGTCAAACTGGATTCCACTGCTAGCCACTGTCCATCTTTGTTTACAATGCTAGTACTGAATTAGTTAAAGTACTGGAAACTTATGTTTAAATAGTTTTAACACTAACTAAACTATCCAGTGTTTGTTATTTTATAGCAACAACCACATCAGGTTAGTGCAATTTTTTCGGCTCACAGATTGTTATCGTAACTATATATAAAATGTTAATTATTAGTATAGAATGAGTAATGAAGATAGTCAACTAGAGATAGAAGCCGTGAATCTAAAAGACATTATAGGGTCAGTAAAATGTCACTAAGCCCTAGTCAAATCATCCGGAAGTTGGGTCATTGAATATCGAACAGATCATCGATCCCTGTCAAAGTTGAGGCTTGCCCCTTGGGGTGATAGACTCGTTATCTTAATTCTACTCATTCATACTAATATACTTCCGTAATAACGTCCTTTGTGTTATACAGTCTTCGAAACATCCATAGTACTTTGACAAATCGATAGGAGTAATCCACGTTAAACGCTGACCGCAATGTATGACTTAAAAGTTAGCTGGTTCGTCATACCATTCCCGTCTATCTCGAGTAGATCCCCAATCATTCAGCAAAGATCATCTAAGTTAGTGATTTACAACATATTGGATAACTTTATTTCTATAACTATTAAGACGATGTTATCTATACTATGATATTCTATTAAGTCTACCATATCATCATGTTGTTATGAGTTGGTCACTTTTTACATGGCGCTTAGTTTTAAATGTCTAAATTAGTGTCAAGTAGTAATGAAACTTACATAAACTAATTTTATTCAGACTATTACAAAAAAACTAAAAAGTACTAATCAACTGTTTCATCCTAATATGAGACTCCTAAGATGGTGGTTGGAAGTGGTCAACAGGAAACCCTGGACCCGGTTTTCGTGCTACTTGACACTCGTCAGCAAGGTGTACCTGTAATCTTGAGGGAACTGATGCTCAGAGACGTTACCACTGAGCTATTCGGGCCGCGACCGACCTCCTGTAGGACTGAGATGTAATCACAATTGATTGATCACAGTCGAGGCATCTAGACTGGTGACTATATTGCAACTTGATCGATAGCATTCGATCAGCACTGAGATGGACTTGACACGCATGACATTGATCACCACCCAGTGATCAATCAACTGTGACTCCTCAATAATGCACATCCATGAACATATAACAGAGAATCAAAGTTTAGTCTTGAAAGTGAACACTTCACTTCTATACTAGTTAACTCAGCATTCAATCATATACATATCTAAGTTCAATCAATTCATATGCTGATTTTCAATGATGATCTAGCTAGATCAGTTCATCAATTAAACTATGAAAATTCTACAATCTTCACGAAACTTTATACTAATAAACTACAATCGGTTTCTACATTCTAACTGTTTATCAGTTGCTATTAAAGGTAAGTTTTTATGTGGTTTGAATATCAGTCATCGTATCTATATTGAAAAGTGATTTAAAAACATTCAATTCAAGTAATTAATAGTCGTTAAAAATTGCCAAGATCCTACATCTGAGACTCGAACCCAGGACTTTCAGTTTTGCGAACGAACACTTAACTTCTGAATCATTGAGTCCATATTCAGCGATATGGATCTACAATCTTGAGCAAGTGTTCTCATTAAACAGGAGTAAAATTATACTTCAGGCAAAATTATAATAATGTTGAAAGCAAAATGTTATCGATAATTATATAGATAACGATTTGAGTGTTGACATAGAATTCGTGAATTGGTTGTAGTTAAACATTAACACTGTTGGATGTCAGCCGGCTAAGTGATCTAGAGTTTAAGCGCTCACACGCGAGACTGATAAGTCTTGAGTTTGAATCTCACGAGGTAAGGATCATGGATGAGCACTGCTGAAGGGTCTCACAATAGAATGAAACGGCCATCTAGAGCTTCCAGATTTTTCACTATGATCTAGCTTCAATTGAATCATGATTTCAACTATAAAATAGAATTCTATTATTAATAATAACATCAGAATTTATGTAAATCAACATGATAAAGCCTAAAATAGGGATAAAAATAAGTATTTTCAAATCCTGACATTAGCTACAATCTATTTATTCTACTATAGAGATTAGAGTTAAAGTTCTACAATGATATTATAGAAAAGTAATTCAAACCGTGATAGTTGACAAAGTAAATTAATATCATACAAATTATTATAATGAAACTATACTACTTATATACTACTTTCAATTTGCTTACTTTATTCATTTTATATTCATTCACCTACTCTTATTCAGTATATGAAAGTAGGAATATATTAATTTCATTTTATCATTTATGACTAGAATTCATTGAAATGTAAATAGATGTTTAGTAAACTAGAGTACAAATGGGGCAACTGAATGAGAATGATATAGCAGGTGGTTATTAAAATTCAGTAGCTAAACAAATAACACGTTGGCATTTGAAGCGAACGATTTTGAATTTGAATCTCGGATTGAACATCAACTCTGAGATGCAGGTACATACAAACGAATGAGTCCTAAATAGGACGAAATGCATGTCAAACTAGATTTCACTGCTAGTCACTATCCATTTTTGCTTATAAAGCCTATGACTTCAAACAATATTGAGGCAGTCCTCAAAGGATGCACATATTTCAACAAGAAACTGATCAATTCCAGATACAAGTATACAACACCAATTGAACATATAGTTAATAGTTGATTTGTAAAATAACAATTCATCGTCTCAAACTTGACTATTCCTTTTTGCAAATATCAGTCTACCATCTCCGATTACTATTGTTCATGCATTTTCATAACAATTGCGTTCCGTTCCCGTTCTCTCCTTATCAATCTTCTAGTGAAATACATTCTATGCCCGGTCGCCGTTATATACTACTTATTTAGATATAAGTAACCTACACCACAGTTGTGTTATAGAATGTAATTACAATCTCATTATAGTTTCATTAAAGATTTAACCTATGTATTGTTCATTTCCTAATTTTAGGCACAATTCCAGCTTATACAATTATGATTGGACTCAGTATACATGTAATACATAGTTTTGTCGTTTGTAAAATGATGTAATAATAATAACTTTTAAAAAAATATACATATATTTGGTCAATTGTATATGTTATAATGGTCGGTTTCTTCTCGTCTTTACGAATAGGGCGTTCATTTAACCATAGATGAATATCTATACTGAATTCCTTGCCAGTTTTTATCCTACATGACTTCAACTTTAACTCAAATCAAAAATACTTGATGAGCCTGACTAGAATATGTAAAGATAACTCCCAATTGATTGATCATTGGGTGGTGATCATTATCATGTGTGTCAAGTCCGCCTTAGTGCTGATCAAATGCTATCGATCAAGTTACAATATAGCCACTAGTCTAGGTGGCTTGACACTGCGTGCACTATGTTGAGATAAGATGGTGGTTGGAGGTGGTCAACAAGAAACCCTGGACCCGGGTTTCGTGCTACTTGACACTCGTCAGCATGGTGTACCTGTAATCTTGAGGGAACTGGTGCTCCCTGACGGATTCGATCCCGTGTCACTCAGCTTTACAGTCAGAGACGTTGCCACTGAGCTATTCGGGTCGTGACCAACCTCCTGTAGGAGGAGGGTTTAGCATGGGGTTAGCGACCCCATCTCGTAGAAAACTAAGTCGCTAAAAAGCGTTAACCAGAAAAAATGATTCAAAGTTAGTAGAATGTAAATTTATTTCCACACTAAAAACCGACAACAAGCCGACACAATCCATCGATAATCAACAACTAATAATGATAAATAATAAGGATAGAGAAATATACAACTCATCTGACATCTCTCAGACTACCTAAAGTTCTGACCAAGCAAACCAACAATCATAATCATTTTCGCCTATATATCAATATATAACTAATTTTTCATATAGGGAATATACAAATCTGTGGGTTCTTTTTACTATTCTACAGATTGTATTCATAATATTTGACTTACTGAAGACAGTGGTGGAAGGTCGTGAAATACCATGGATTAGTTGAAGTTAAACATTAACACCGTTGGATGCCAGCTCAGTGATCTAGAGTTTGAGCAATCTCACGTGAGATTGAAGATTCTGAGTTCGAGTCCCGAGCGCGAGATCGTGGATGCGTATTGGTAAGGAGTCCCATGGTGGGACCGGAGTTTCAATGGCTGTCTAACATCGATTGATTCATGATCTCAATCAAAAAAGTAAACGTACCATCAAACTTTTGGAAAGACAATCTTATCTAAAATGTGATTACACATTTAATTCAATACAAAACTTAACTCTCTCAAAGATCATTGAATAAAGTGTATGCCCATTTTATGAGTTCTAAGCTTAGTATTTCAGTTGTATGCAAAGTATTTTAGTCTCTGATATTGATCTCTTCATTTATCAGTGATAAAATTTGAATTAACATTATATAGATAACTATAAGAGGAAGAATCGTAGTGTCAGATCAGTGTCAGTTAGGGATACAAAAATATTCACAAGTATGGTAAGAGAAATAGTTATTGATACAAACTCGTTAACATTTAGTTAACATCAATATATTGGGCTTGTTTAACCCTCAAAAAGGATCAAATATTTATCAACCAATCTGGCGCGAGACTGGTATGCCCTTGGTTCGAATCGCACGAGGCTGGATTGTGGATGCACACTGCTGACGAATCCCTCAATAGGACGAAATAGGCGTCCAGTGCCTCCAGGTTTTCCATAGGGGTCTAGCTACAACTGACTCTAATCTCAACTATATAAAATTATCAACCAAGTTAAAATGTGGCCATACCCAAGCTGTCCATTGTATTCCGTGCAACCCTTCAGATGTGGAGTTCTTCACAATTCAGTCAAACGCCAAAAGAAAGAGAAAGAGAGTGATCAGCCTTGTCTGACTTCAGTCCCCACTTACAATGAGTTTGCCAGCTGTCCTCAATGCCCAAATATGCAATGTAGTTCGTCGTACGAATTCTGTATGATGTTGACGATCTTCTCAGGTACACCAAAATGTCGAAGAAAGTTATATAAAGTGCTCCCGTCCACAGTGTCAAGTGTTGTCTCATAGTCAAGGAAGTTGATGTATGGTAACGAATCCCATTCAATCGATTATCCACAATGTTTTGATTACATCTGTACATGATCGATCTTTACGGAATCCAGCCTGTTGATCAGGAAGTTGGTTATCCAGCAAATTTTTCATCCGGTCCAGTAACACTGTCGAAAACGTTTCCTTATACTAATTGTAGTGTGGTGCTTCTGTAGTTCTCACACTTGCTGAGATCTCCTTTCTTTGGTATCTCGATGAGGTATCATTCTTTCCAGTCAGTTGGCACATGTTCTTCTTCCTAAATAGAATGTGGAACATATTTGCAATTGTCTCTGTCTAACTTCAGTGCTTCAGCTGGTATGTGGTCAGGTACTGTTGCTTTCCCACTATTGAGCTGCTTTCTGGTCATCTGGATTCCTCCAATTGTTGGTGGAGTGACGTCTATAAGAATGTCTGTGTGCATTGTCTCAATGTTCAGTGGGTTTCGTCGGGCTGACATATCCAAGTGTTCTCTAAAGTGTTATACACACCTGTTCTGATGCACTTGAATCTTAGTGATTGTCATGCCTTCTTTGTCATTGACTGGTTGCTCTGGTTTTCTATATTTCCCTAACGGTTCCTTCATCATGTCATATAGTTGTTTCATATTTTATTCTCTTACAGCTTTTTCCGCTGTCGCTATTAGGTCTTCCATTTTTTCTGCTTGTCGGCTCTAATGCTCTTCTTCACTTGCTTGTTTGATTCGGTGTATTTTAGCCTGTGCCTTGACTTCTCTGTTCTTGTTAGGCTGTTGTTAATTATTGTCTTCTTGGACTCCCTTTCTTGAGTCGTGTATATGGTTTCGATAAAGATCCATTCCTTATGAGATTGTTTCTTGCGGCCCAGAAACACCTGACACATTAAAGTTAGTGCTTCTTTAATCTCTTTTTTTAATTGTCCTCCATATTAATTTCCACTTCTTCAAGTAGATCTTTTGAGATTTGGAATCTGTTGATGATCGTTATTATGAATTCGTTTACTGTTAGAATGTTGAAGGAAGGCTTTGTTAATTCTATGTATTGCCATTTCTTCAACTTTTACAGTCCTTTTCTAGCTTCAGTTTCACCTTGACAAACGTCAAGTGAAATGACCTAAAAAATCTTATTTGTTTGAAGTTGTCAAGGTAGTTAATTCATACAAATAATTGAGGAAATCGGTATTTAGTTTAGCTGTAACTAGTATAGATCAAGCTATACATTTAAACAAAGAAAACAAACTTAAAACAGTGAACCATGGAAAGAAAAACAATGAAGAAATGAGTACAGATTCCTATAAGCTACTCTACTTTGAACTTAATCCAAAACATCTATTGTTTTAAAGGATCACATGTACTTTACAGATCCGAATAAACAAATGTTCTTGTTGATTGATGATCAAGTAAACAAGATTACTAAAAATAATTCTGATCTAGTTGTAACGTGATCATCTATCTATTGGACAGATACAGATATAGTATTGTGGTGAAGGAGAACACTAGTTGAGACAATCGAATGTGAGATAATGGATAAGATTGGTAGCTCAGGTGAATGATTTTGATGGAGTTTTGTTCTCTCAGCTGGATGGTTTGGTCGTGGAGCTTTCATCGTCCTTCTGAACGAAATCATCAGAACAAACTTTGGGGATAAGTGAAGTGTGAATCAAATGTGGAGAAATTCAAACACTTTACTTCTACCCGAAGTTTGTGCTGATGATGTCGTTCGGAAGGACGATGAAAGCTCCACGACCAAACCATCCAGCTGAGAGAACAAAACCCCATCACAATCAAATGTATTTGAACACACAAATTACAAAACTATACTGTAAATATCAGAAGGGTTTTTTGTGAATATTATAGCAATTTTAACAGTTGCGAAACTGATAGGTCCTGGGTTCGAATCTCGCGAGGTAGCTTAGTGGATGCGCACTGCTGAGGAGTCCCACAATAGGACGAAACGGTCATCTGGTGCTTCCAAGCATTCTTTGTTCTTTTTCTCTTTTCTTTGATCTTCTAAAGTTTCTGTCTCCACGTGTTTTATTTTCTGTTGATGATACATACTACTTATATCTGTTGACATCAGTAGCACACATCACAGTATATTATTCTAATTGGCAAAATATTAAATAAAAACGTATATTTTCAATAGCATTTTACTTCAATGAATAAATTATCCCGCTATGTTTAATATAGTTCATTTAAATGTATTTAGTTCCCTTCACAAACTGAAATGAAACAAGAATGACCATATTCTCAATATTGTCTGCATTGTTTGGAAACGCTTCAACCATATTCCCTTCTGTAAGCAAAGATGGATAGTGGCCAGCAGGGAAATCCAGGATGCGCATTTCGTCCTATTTGGGACTCGTCGGCTGGATGTATCTGCATCTCAGAGTTGATATTCATCCAATGATTCCAAACCATTACCTTTCGCTTCAAACGCCATCACGTTTTTCACTCAGCTTCTGGGTCCTTATATCCACTGGCTTGTTCAATGGGTTGAAGTTTAAATTCACTGAGTATTGTTTGTTTGAATCTACTCATTGATGTTTTTAGGACTGCAATTGATAACGCGATGGCTTTTGAAGCGAAAGGTAATGATTTGGAATGCCAGGGTGAACATCAACTCTGAGATGCACGTACATCCATCTGACGAGTCCAAAATGGGACAAAACGCGCATCCTGGATGTCACTGCTAGCTACCATCCCTTTTTGCTTACAAATGCTCTTGAATTAAGGCAATATTGAGGCAATACACACAGTATGCGCATATACCAACAAGAGACTAATTAATTGCAGTCCTGAATATCAATGGGAAGATTTTAACAAACAATACTAAGTAAATTCATGTTCCCGTACTTTTAGGCTATAGATAAAGTTTTAATACGTTGTTTCAGTTGAATTCAGTTGTACATCTTGAAACAATATTACTGAGACTTTAATTTATAGACAACCTTTGAGCAACGCTAAACTGACTTTGTAAGTGCTACAATTGGACGTAGTGGGATGTTTGGTTTGTGTATCTTTGGTCTGCCGTAGAACCGAGGGAGTACTGGTCCATTAGATTTCATTCTCCATTGATCTTGCTTCGTTATTTCTCCTGCTTTGACGAGTTTGTTTAAAGTTTTTGAAATGCGATTGTCTAGTTTTTCGACTGGATTTATGTCCATCGGTTTGTATGTACTTTTGTCCTCGAGTATTTCCTCGGCTTTCTTGATGTATTCTTCCTTGTCCATAATCACCGTAGTGCGTCCTTTGTCTGCTGGAACGATTACAATATCTTTTCTGGTTCTGAGTTTCTTCAAAGCTGTTTGTTCTTGTGACGTCAGTTGGTTGTTGCCCTTCATCCGTTGAGTTAGTGATATTATAGATTGTCTTATTTCCTGTTGCGTTTCCTCACTTATTCCGGAAGTTTTGAGTGACCAAACCATCCAGCTCAGAGAACAAACCAACATAAAAATCACCCACCTGAGCTACAAATCTTCTCCACCATGACTTTGTAAGTGTCTACCTAATAACCAGGAAGAAATGAGAATTATAAACCACTGTGAGGAATTAGATTTATGATTTACAGTTGATGGTTGGGGGTTCGAAATTACATTCAGGGTTTTTATTACGTATTTTGGCATCAATTAAAGTGTTAAAAAGCCATTTAACTAAATGAATGAATAAATTTCGCTCCAAAATCCATGACCTTTAATCTTAAATCTGATTGGTTCATCCATAAATTATAGTGTCATCAGAAAATGGATACATTCTATCTCATATTCTACTATGAGTTCTTCAAATAATTTGTGAAAATCGAATGGTCATTATCCGATGATCATCGGTTATCTTATTATAAGAACTAAAATGATCTTTGATCATAAGACTGAGATTTCTAAGAAAAGGGAGAAGATTAATTGATTGAAAAAATTTAACAAATTGTCACCTCATAACAATCAATTTGATTTTAAGCAAAGATGGATAGTGCCTAATAGTGGAATCCAGTTTGACGCGTCATTCGTTCTTTTTTTGAGACTCGTCAGCTGGATGTATTTGCATCTCAGAGTTGATGTTCCCTTTAGGACTGGAACACAGTACATTTCGTTTCAAACAACATCGCGTTATCCATTTACCTACTGAGTTCTGATAGTCACTTGCTTGTGCAATGGGGTAAAGTTTCAATTCACTAAGTATTGTTTGTTTGAATCTTCCCATGTTTGAATCTTACCATGCTTGTGAATTAAGGTATATCAAGGCAATACAAACAATATGCATATATACCAACAAGAGACTGATCAATTACAATTCTGGACATGAATGTGTAGGTTCAAGTAAACACTACCAAGTGTTATGTAATATTTACAATCAGCTTTCAAAAGATTTACATAACATATGATCATCACATTATTTTAATGAAATACATTTTTCATTTGTGTTTTTTTTTTACCGACATATAATCTTACTTTAATTCAGTAGTATAGAAAGATACAAAAAAAATATAAGTAAACATAATGGATCCTGTTTTTCTTTTCTTTTCTTTTTTTTTCAATTTGTTTATTGTTGCCATGATGATTATCATGATAGAATGAGAGTTGACAACAATCAAACAACATTCATATACGACTATCATGTGATCAAATGATCAACTTTGATCAATCAACTGATTAGTGTATATGTAAGTAACCATAGGCAGCATACATGTATATATATATAAGTCATTTAATTAGAAAACAAAGTTTAATATTTTACTCAACTTGGACCGATTCCCATAGATTCACAAACACACACAAACACATAAGTATCTACTCATAGAATATGAACATTATTACCTCGAGATTCATTTGTATCTTTGCTATCATCTTATCATTTAGTCATCATATTCAATATACAAGTAAGTTATTAATAATTCTTATTTAATGTATGAGTTAGAAAGCTACTGATCTATCACAATAAGCTACTAAGTATAGATTATTAGTTAAATTCATGAGTTGATGAATGTTAGATCATCATTGGAAAACTTGAAAGTACTTGATGAATGTTTCATTTTAGTATATGACTCGTCAACAGTGAACATCCTTGATCCTGTACATGGGATTAGAACATAGGATTTTTAGTCTGTCGCGTGAACACATAAGCTCTACATCAATGAACCAGCATACTTGGCTTTCAGATTAGCACTCCTTTAGCGAGTTGTTTTTCTACGGCATACGATCGATAGCCCCCATGTCCAATCCTCCTCCTTTATCCGAGCTTTGGATAGGCAGTACCTCCCGGAGGAGCTACAGGCGGAGTTTAAACCAGCATCCAACGATGTTAATGTTTTTTTTTAGCGAGTTTATTATCTCTACCAGTTATGGCTTTTCATTAAAACTTCAAAAAGTACCTCATGAAGTTAGTCAGCCTTGCGATTGACAATATTAGAACAACCTTAATATCTATCAGTTCCATTAAAGTAGTATATTTCATGATGGTGAAAATATTTTTGAATAGATTTCTAACTAATAGAATGTTTTATATAAGTTTTTTCTTATTTCTCATAATGTTATTCTCAATATATCTTCTTATAGAAGCTTCAAGCTTATTTGGTGGTAAGTTCTAATATGAAATATTCTATCAATTTTTTATTTTTTTTAATTTGATTAAAAACTTTCCATACTACTGAAATGAATAAATTATTCAGTTGAAGATAATCAGAGTTATTGATGACATTTCGTTTTTGATAGGTGATCTATACTACTTAAATTAACAGATATAAGTAGCATACATCACCCTATTTTTATATTAGTAATGATGTTTGTTTAATATTCTTTATTATTATTATTATTAACTTTATTCAATATTATATTTTTGGTACAATATAGAATTCTCAGTACAAAGTACTTCAACAAGTTTCCGTTTCTTACTTCTTCGTTCTTTTTGACGATGAATATTAAGTGATCGCTAGTTAGAAGTTAGCAGCCCAGTCAATCGACATCTGGATAATGTACATTCTTCTCGCTACATATTGTCAGCAACCTTGGATATCTCTGATTAAGCCTTCTGTAACCTTTACAGCGAAAGCTCTTACACTTTTCAGAAATGCACTTGAATAGGTTGTACGATTAATAGGCATAATGATGTATTAAAACAAACGAAATCATATAACTGTTTGAAATATCTAGATGACAGGAACAGATAGCCCAGATGTTTAAAAACAGACCGCCTAATCTTGAAAGAGATACATTTAACAAGTGAATGTAAAAATAAGATCTGATGAATTGTTTCATACTTTATTTGTTCTTTCATTTTCATACTATTCATTATCTGTTCCCGTTCTCATTCTTTTCAATCTTCTTAATCGTCTATCACCATACATTTCAATTTCGATTTGATAATTCATACTACTATTATTTGTCTATATCAGTAGTATACATCATTTTAGAATTCTTAAATACATTAATCTGTAATCTAAAACTATTATTAACTAGTAATATCTCATATGATCTAATGACCAATATGTTTATAATATTGTTTCTTTCTTAAAGAAGAGGAACCTAGAACATGTGAGTTTTATTATATGTATTATGTGACATTTTCGTCCAACAGATGATTTACAGCTTATCATTGTATCCATGTTGTATCAATTAAAGAAGTAGTCTACCTTCCTTCATTATGATAATGTATTAAGCAAGATAGATTAAGTCTACTGAAATTCATCATTCAATACTATTGATAATAAAGATTAGTCAAACTAACATCAAGTTTCAGAATTCAATAGAAGAGAACTTTGATAAGTTGTCAGTTTTGACACCTTCAATAATCAAGTCTTTATGAACTAATTCATTCTTTCTCCAACTATAAATCTACTGTTGTTTTTTTTTCATGTTCAGCAACTACATCAAAGCCAAGTAAGTGTAATTTTTGTTCTTATTCATTGTTAATAATCTTTTTAGTGTAAAACAACCAAAACGATAATAAACCCGTTGAAGTTGTATTCTATCATATATCTATCTGATATATAGATTAGAATAAAAACAATAATGAGATCCAACTATGAATACATTTTAGAGAATCAATTACTTCATAAATTAATATGAATAGTAATGCTGCATTATTGACAACTGTGATAATCAGTTAGTCACATGAAACATACCTACCATCCAAAAAAACAAACGGTCATTAGATCATGAGGCTATACTACATCATCATCATCATCAAATGATTAGATTGTTGTGATAAATTGATGTGATTAACGTGTAATATCTAAATTATTGAAACTCCTGAGGTAAGATGGTGGTTGCAGGTGGTCAACAGGAAACCTTGGATCCGGATTTCGTGCTACTTGGCACTCGTCAGCAAGGTGTACCTGTAATTTTGAGGGAACTGGTGCTCTCTGACGGATTCGATCCCGCGTCACTCAGGTTCACAGTCAAAGACGTTACCACTGAGCTATTCGGACCGCGACCAATCTCCTGTAGGACTGAGATGTAATCACAATTGATTGATCACTGGGTGGTGATCAATCTCATGCATGTCAGGTCATTCTTAGTGCTGATCGAATGCTATCAATCGAGCTGAGTGACGCGGAATCGAATCCGCCAGGGAGCATCAGTTCCCTCAAGATTACAGGTACACCTTGCTGACGAGTGCCAAGTAGCACAAAACCCGGATCCAAAGTTTCCTGTTGACCACTTCCAACCACCATCTTACCTCAGCATATATAGTGCAAGCAGTGTCGAGCTACCTAGACTAGTGGCCACATTGCAACTCGATCGATAGCATTCGATCAGCACTAAGAAGGACCTAACATGCAAGAGATTGATCACCACCCAGTGATCAATCAATTGTGATTATTGAAACCCCTGCTTAAATATGACAACCATACATTGGTTTTCATCATTCGTACTTCATATTTCTGTATAATTCTTCCATGTCATAATTCCTTTGTATTTTCATTTTTGTTTTCTTCAAGATAACCTATATAACCTGTCACGTTTTCAACTTTCAATTGTTATTTATATACTACTTATGTCAGTCGATATAAGTAGTATACACCATGAACATATCTACCATTCATAATTCATTCATATTGAAATATTTAGTTGTCTATAGTAAATCTTTAGTCATTATTAACCTAAATATCAATTTACTTATGATAGTTGGCTTAGAATGATCATAGGTAAATGTAAATTATCACATTCAGACATTTCGCAATTCATTCCGGTTGTTTCCGGTTGTAATTCATCCGGCTCAATTTGTTCTTGGTCTTCCTCTTTATCATTTTACTTCAAGATTCAATGTCAGCACTTGCCTCATGATGTAATTTAATGATTTCCGTAACATATATCCTATATACTTCTACTCAGATCTACTTCCAATTTTCGACGCAGTGTGTTCTTTGATCTTCCTCTTTTTCTTTTCCCTTCAGGATTCCATATTACACACTTGTATCGTGATGATCTTTGATGATTTCCGTGACATGCATCCTATGCTCTTCTGATGTCTTCTCTTAATTTCCTCCTCAGCTAGTAACCGATTTGTTCTCTCCCAATCCAATATAATATTGCTTCAATAAGTATGAGATCAATTAACTTAAATGATTTCTATCAACAAAATCTTATTTCATTATCAATGTCTTTATTTCTATTTTCCGTTGAATTATTTAGAATCACAAACGACTAGTGAGTAAAATGACAAAGTTTCTTGATTAGTTTAAATGAAAATGTAAACATCATCTCTCACTGGGTAGCAGTTTATTTCTATGATTCATCTAAATTCGATGTAAACATATATGACTTACTTACTGACTTAATTAACTCTTTTTACCCTTAGTAGAAGAGCACAGACCGCCTATCCCGATTCTCTGATGCACAAAGCAATGCAGTAATGTTAGCAGATTCCGCTACATGTTAGCCGGTGACCAACATTAGGTTCATATACACTTTTTCCCACAGGATTCTAGAGATCATGTGCACCCGTTGTTCGGAACACAGGTTTTTCAACTCCCGTAGGAGGATGCTTCATGTTTACTAACCCGGTTAAAGCACTAAACATTCGTTTTCCGTCCTCTTGTTCTCATAAACAACCCCATTGATGCGAGAAGTCAGTGAGTTAGACTTACTTGGCAGTGATTGTTGCTAGTAAAGTAAATTTTTAAGCTCTAAAATGAATAGCATACCTTAAATCCGATTGTAATTAAGCTGAATTTATAGAAATAGTAGCATAAATAAATTAGAATAACGTAGAATGGGTGAAATAATAACAAGTAAAATTCAGTATTTGAATACTTGAAGGTATAGTGTAGTATAGGAAGATATACATGAGGCACAGGAAAAGGGATTAAACCTATTTATTCTAAATATAAAACTTCAGCAGTTTCAGTTGTCATGATATTGCTTCGGTTATGTGAAACACAATGGTCATAACTTTTCATTATGTTACCCTAATGAATGGTAGATTATTGATGTTAGGGATATGACATATTTTAATTGGATGAAATGTGGAAGAACTATCAAAGCCTTTGGTACATTTTGATGTAACCTCTTTAGATGATGATTATTAATACGATGAATTAATACTATTATAATAGTAATTGAAGACATTCATAAATCAACATGCCTTCAAATGTCCGGATAGGCCGAGGGTGGAGAGAGTCAGTTCGACTAATCTAAATGCTCTCACGTGGCCATGTGTATACAGCCACTGACACAGAAGTCTTGCTCACTGCCTTCTCGCAGCACTACTGTTGTTTACGAATTTGAGAGGACAAAAAGCGAATGTCCGGTGCTTTAACTGGTTTGGTGGATACAGAGCAACCACCAAGGGGGGGCGGGAAAACCCTCATCCCAAACTACGGGTGCACTTAATCTCCAGGATCCTGAGGGAACAAGTGGCGTATAAACCTATTGTTGGTCAACGGCTAACATGAGACTTCATCTGCTAAAATTACTCCACTGCTTTAAGCATCACACGTCTAGGTTGAAATCTCCATGTGAGATCCTCTTAGAAAACCACCTGCTTCGGTTTGTTAATTTGAACAGTGTTCCAGCCCTCACACAAATCAAGTGACTTGTGTGGAGCATATGTATTCGTTGCCCCTTTGTACAAATGTTTATGTGTTCACATAAATAAATATATAAAATAACACTTCCACAGAATATACAATTATTAATTGAAAGCAAATTATCTTTGGAGCTTTCACGCAACAATGAAAACCACAGGTTTGTTTTCCAGATTTCGTCTAGATACGACAGAAAACTTCATTTCTTCATTTCATTACCTTAGTATTGATCATCAATTAGATAAATTTAGATCGAGTTTAATCCAATGTGGGAGGCTTATACTCCTTCGAGAGGCGTAACAGACGTATGTAAGTAAGTAAGTAAGTACGTAAGTAAGTAATTCAAAGTAATCGCATTATGTAACTAATCGATTTTATTATCTACAAAATATATCTTTACAGCACCTAAGGCACAGGTATCTGGTGAGTTAACTTCAGCATGTAATTTTTCAAAATTAATCTTCTTTCTATCTTCACTTACTAAAATCCATTTCAGTTGTTATTCATCCTTTTCATGTCAACTTCAAATCCTCGACACAGTGTTCTATTTGGTCTTCCTCTCTTCTGTTACCCTTCAGGATTCCATGTTAATACTTGTTTCGTGATGCAGTTTAATGATTTCCTCAATGTATGTCTTATCTACTTGTACAACAGTATAACTATGATCATTTTAATTGATCGCTTACATCCATATAAGCATTTAAAAGTATATAGAGTTTTATCATTGATGAAAGATGTATAGAAGATGTGTAGAAGGATCAAATTCATTTGAAATACATTAGTTCATTGTTTAAATAGATCAAACATTAATCACTCATTAATATAACTATCTCAAGATGAATTAATAACGGAAGATAATTATTAGGATTATTCACTGTTGAAAGTTATAAAAGTATATGTTCGACTGAAGTTTATTAACAATCCCATACACATGAACAAATGCGGATGAAGACAATTAGTGTAGAAGAAGCCTCTGAATCAGTAAGTTTCAACATACACAAAGAATAAAGCTAGATCCTCAAATACAACAAAGTGAGCATCCCTCAGATATAGAAGCTCTGGAAGAAGTGAAATCTTTTACGTATCTGGGTAGTATGATTATTGAACATGAAGGATCTGATGCAGACGTATAGGCGAAGATTGGCATAACAAGGGTTGCATTCCTACAGTTGAAGAACGTATGAAACTCAAAACAAATTTCAACCAATATTAAATTGACAATCTTCAATAAGAACATCAAGATTGTCCTACTATACAGAGTGGAAACTTAAAAAGAAACTACTATAACCATTATTAAAAAAAGCACAGGTATTTATAAACAATAGTCTATGTAAGATACTGAATGTACTTTGGCTGAATACCATCATCAACAACTTACCGTGCAAGAGAACAAGTAAGTTTCCAGTTGAAGAGGAAATTAGTAGAAGACGTTGGAAGTAGATAGGACACACATTGAGGAAATCATTAAACTGCATCACGAAACAAGTGCTAACATAGAATCCTGAAGGGAAATGGAAGAGAGAAAGACCAAAAAACACACTGCGTCAGGAATTAGAAGTGGAATGAATCGGAAAGGAGTGTTGAGGACAGAGTTGGATGTTTAAAGCTGATGAGCGGCCTATTCTTCTCCATGGGGGATAACAGGCCTAACTTAATAAGTAAGTAGATAACAATGGTACTGGAACTGTGGAATAAAGCTACACTTGTTCAAATTTCAATATTAACCTAAATTTACTAATTGAATTAGGAGTAATCTAATCCACCTTGAATATTGGTTTAGTCGATTGTTCTGTTTTTCTGAAACTCATGGGAAAAAATTATTGTCAGAAGGGTTCTTGTGAATATTACAGTAATGTTAATAGCTGAGATAATTAATCAATTGAAGTTAACCCTTTCTAACATTAATCAACATATGTTCACTAATGACTGGCTTCAACAGGTGTTACCTGGAGTTCCAGTGAGAAGCACTGACAACTGGAGTTCAACCGGGTCTGTTATGAGATAGTAACCCAATGAAGACCATGGTGAATGTGTCGCAGAATTTCGTGTATTGGTTGAAGTTAGTCATTAACGCCGTTGAATGCCGGCCGGCACAGTGGTCTATAGGATAGGTCCTGGTTTCAAATCTCGCGAGGCGAGATCGAGGATGCGCACTGCTGAGGAGTCACACTACACAACGAAACCGTCATTCAGTGCTTCCAGATTTTCCATGGTGGCCTAGCTTCTATTCATTCATGATCTCAACTATTACAAAAACAATTATAGATAAGTATTTCTAACAGTTCTTCCGTACAATAGACCGATTCGACCGATTCGTTTTTTTGACAGACTGAAAATAAAATGAAAGTATATTTTTGTAGATTGATCCTATTTGTATGTTGTACTCGCTGCAGATTGATCTCAGTTGGAGTAAAATTAGAAAGTAGAGAGCAGTGAAAAAACATCTTGTCTTAAGATGAAACTATCAAGGAGTGCTTGTCCGAATATCCGTACATGAATCGAAGCCAGGTAATTCAGATCTCTTGGTTGCCATAAAATCCACTGGATCATTTTCAGTTGATACAACTTCAACTGTAATAACTTTATGATATCATATGATGATCATCTTTTGCTATTATTGATGATGGGTATTTCATTTTCCGTCCTATCCGAACTTCACTAGTCACGAATTCTTACCATAACTTCAACAATATTTTCAATCATGTCAGTGATTCGTTAAGAAAGATACTTCAACTGAAGGGATACAAAGAGATCAGCCCGCCTTAACGGTCATCGAGATGTACCATTGAGAGTCCTTTACTAGAATGGAATAAAGATCTTATATTCCTTGCTATTCATCAGTACCTCATCTGAGATCAATCTTCAACTATTACAAATAATAATTATTTTAAACAATTCAAATAATCTAGTCGAAAATTTTTTTACCTACCATGAAATGAAACAATGAATTTTCTCATTGTTGAAAGCGTGAGTCAATTGAAGCTAGACCACCATGGAAAACTTCAATTGACTCACGCTTTCAACAATGATAAATACTAAATCTCCACAAAACCCCTTCTATAATGAATTTTCTGTTTGATTCTACACTTCAGGTGCTACAATGAAAGGAGCATATTACACCGTAATAGGTTCTGTTCTGATTGCAACTGCAGTATGCCGATATTCAGTATAAATGAGAAGACGAATAACCATTTGAAAACAGTATTCTTTAGAACATTTTCTTTTCGTTTGTAATTACCGAAATATGTTTTGATTTGATAATAATAATAAATTTTTGAATTAAACCTAATTTAGTTTCATAATCATTATCAATCATCTTACATTTCCATACAACCTTGATTTGTACTATGAAATCCAACATCAAAAGACTGTGTGTTCGTATCACATCGAGCTCAGCGGTCACCCAGAAATATCCTGGTACGGCCAACAGTGTGGACAGTCAGCTGCCCTCTCGAAATCCTCACACATGGCCACATGCACACAACAACTAACAGGGAAGTCCTACTCACTCCCCTCTTGTGGCAGAGGTGTTGTTTACGAGATGGAGAGGGCGAAAATCGAGTGTACGGTGCTTTAACCGGGTTGGAGGATACGGAGTATCCATCTAGGTGATTCGAAAAACCCTCACTGCAAACCATTGGTGCACTTGACCCATAGAATCCTGAACGAACAAGTGGCATATGAACCTAACTTTGGTCATTGGCTACTATGATACTGCATCCGCTAACATTATTTCACTGCCAAGTGAATCACACCTTTAGGTCAGTGGCTCATGGTGTGGCCCTCTGAGAAAGCCAGTTGTTTCGGTTTGAGCTCTCGGGGATTATTCCAGCCCTCACACAAATGAAATGGTTTACGTGGTGCATATATATATTAGGTTCCTCCTTGTACCTATGCTTGTGTGTTTGAACAAATAAGGGTAACTATACCACAGACATTATTTCGTGTGAACTGTTGAAATAAACGGATTTCTATTTATATGGAACAAACACAAAACTTATGTAGCATGATCCATTTCGTTGATTCATTAAAAATTGCTTACCGTGATAATCTTCTTTCTATTTAATCCTAAAACCGATTGAGGAATCGGTAGGTATACATAGTTGAATATTACAGCTTGTTTCTGTATAACCGGTACCATGAGAAATCAGTAAACATAGTAGGACGGTTAAATTCATTTGGCATTGCTTGTTCGAAACTTCCCATTGATGTTCAGGACTGCTATTATTCAGTCTGTTATTGTCATATGTGCATACTGTGCGTATTGCCGCGATATCGTAAGCAAAGAGGGATAGTGGCTAGCAGTGAAATCCTGTTCGACGCGTGTTTCGTCCTATTTCATACTCGTAAGCTGGATGTACCTGAATAATGTAGCTGAATAATGTTCATTCTTTTCAATGAATATTGACAGCTATCTCGAAATCTCTGATTAAACTTTTTTGTAAGTCGTACAGATAAAGGTCGCAAAATTTCCATAAACCCTCTTGATAGGTTGTGCAATTAATTGACATAATGATTTGTTGAAAGAAACAAAATACAGATAACTTGTTCAAATATCTAGATAGTAGGAACAAAGGTAAGACTTCAGGGGTATCGTCCACTGATGGAGGTTGCGGAGCATTTGAAGGATGAAGTGTCATGAAATGATTGATGCGTCACCTCGACAATTCACGAAGTCTTGCGAAGGCGGCCGAATCAAGACACTTTTAGATTTGAATTGAGTTCAGCCACACTATGTTTGATAACGTCCATTCTTCTAGTAACGAAGACGATGCCATCGTGATGATGCATGATATAGGACGAATGTTCAGTGATATTATGTTATCGTGACGATTTACAAGTTGGGACAATTTTAAGACCTGTTTGAAAGAAGTACATAAGGTAATATGACTTCTGTGGTTGATGATTATTTTCGCAGTATACGCATACTGAGTACGTTTTGTCAGTATGTAAAAGGAACACTGATGACAAGTGATGTATGAAGCTATTGTTGGTCGCCGGATAACATGAAACTGCATCTCCTTACATTGCTCCATTGCCCTGTGGATTAGACTTGTAGGTCGAAGGCTAAAGATGTAGCCTCCTAAGAAAACCACCTGTTTCAGCTTAGGCACTCGAGAATATCACAGACCACACACATATAAAAGATAATCGCTACTGTCCTCATGGTTATTGTGTGCCGCATATGTATTCGATGCACCCTTGTACCAATATTTATGTGTTCAAACAGATAAATCAATAAATACAATTCTAAAGTGAGAAATATAATTATGATTTTGTTAAGACTATATCTAATGTTTATTTACGACGTTTAATTCTTTTCTAGTACACCTGTGTTCGAAATAAATCCATCCTCACGTCATCTTCTGTTTCTGCCATATTGGTCGAAGCGTCTGACCGTTTATTATAACGGTAGTGTATATGGCTTAAACAAAACTCCACTTCTCATGATTATTAGCATATATATATATATGTATGTGAACCGCAAAATGCTGGACCACGATCGAAACGTATATGGTGTCAGCAGTGCATATCCACGACCCCGTACGGGGAACTCGAACCAACTACCTTCAATCTCTCACAAACACATGACCTCTAAACCATTGAGCCGACATCCAGCAGTGTTACTGTGTAACTTCAACCATTCCATCATATTGCGCGACCATCGTCCATTGTCTTTGAATGGCAATTGCCTCATACTCCACACGGTTAAACTCCAATGGTCATGAGTTCAAACTATAACTCCGACAATTACCTCTCGAAGTTAGTCACTAGTAAGCAGATGATAATTATTAACATAGGGTTGTGGAGATTGTTGAGTTTTCTATTAAGATCATGAAGCGATCAATGTTAGACAACCAACCAATGGGATTTCTTCACGCACGTGTGCTTCCAGGTTTCCACTGATGGTCCAACATTGATAGATCTATGGTCTCAACTATAACGTAACAATCACCGCAACCCTATACTAATTTTATGAGTAGAAGGTCTATATTCTCTATTTTTAATGAAAATATTTGGGCCGAATATTATTATAATTATGGCTAATATAATGACTAACCACTGTGTCTATTATTTGTCACTGTTCTTTTAAATTACAATCATAATCAAGAAGCAGTGAATAGTTGTTTCATCCTACTACATTACTTCTCATTAGTGTACATCACTTGACTCTTCAAGGATCGCACTCAAGATCTTCAGTCGTAATATAGAAATCCTTACCTTCTGTCTTGTGAGTTAGCATTCAATAGTTTACAATTTTAACTTTATTCAGTACATAATGTTGTGTGACCGTCATTTGATGTCATTGATTAGTAAAAATCCTAACCCCTTTCACTTAAATGTATTATTAATGAGATATTCAATCAATAACAGTGGTCAGTATGAAGGTCATGAAGATTGTTGAATGTTATTAGGATCACGAGCCGACATAAGCTAGACAACCCTTTAAAAATCATGAAGCACTGTAATTCTCCTCACTAATGTGCACACAGAACACAACCGCAGTTTATCAAACCTACGACCTTTTATTTCACATACACACACCTATTCTCTAGACCATTGAAACGTAAAGAGTCTGACAGTTTACTTCAATCTATTCATAGTACTGAGTGACCAAATGCCACTATTCTTCGGGGGTACTTCTCTCACACTTAATATGGATAAACTCTACAAGTCATGGTTTCTCACTACTATTCCAGAAATGTCCTCTCGAAGCTATTGACTAGTGTATGTTTTATAATAATCAGTATGGGGATTGTAAAGATTACTGAATGTTAATTGAGATGTAAACCATAGATCAGAACCGACAAACGTAAATATGTGGAACATTTAGCAATGACGGTGGGAAAGGCTGCAAGAGAAGGATACATGAGACAATTTGTATGATACGACAAAGATACTGGTTGGAAATTACCGTAAAGTAGAACGACTAGTGAAAAGCAAGGAAGGCAAAGTAATCATCAACATTGAAGAACAATAAAACAGGTGGGTGGACACACTTCAAAGAACTCCTGAATCGACCAGCTTCACTGAACCCACCCAACATCGAAGCATGGCCATCAGACAAATAAAGAGCAGCAAAGCAGCGGAACCAGACAACATTCCAGTAGAGGCACTGAAAGTAGATGTAGCAGCAACTTCAAAGATAATCCACATTCTCTTCAATTTATTCATAGTACTGAGCGACCATCTTCCATTATTCTTCGAGGGTACCTCTCTCACACTAAATATGGATAAACTCTACAAGTCATGGTTTCTGATTGCAACTCCAGAACCTAACCACTATCCATCTTTGCTTAGAAAGTGTCAATGTTTTAAAATGAAACTCAATCGTCTACACCATGGAAAGTTAATTAACACTTTATTTATGAATTCAGCAATGTAAATTGAAAGTTTGTCCATAAGCTAAAATTGAAACTTGAACAAGTGGAGTCTGTAAACAAATTTCTTTGTTAAAACTATTGTTATTTATTACTATTACCATTATTATTATTAGTAGTAGTAGTAGTAGTAATAGTAGTAGTAGTAGTGGTAGTAGTAGTAGTAGTGGTAGTAGTAGTAGTGGTAGTAGTAGTAGAAGTAGTAGTAGTAGTAGTAGTAGTAGTAGTAGTATTAGTATTAGTAGTAGTAGTAGTGGTAGTAGTAGTAGTAGTGATAGTAGTAGTAGTAGTAGTGGTAGTAGTAGTAGTAGTAGTGGTAGTAGTAGTAGTAGTGGTAGTAGTGTGGTGTTGTCTACTTATATCCATATAAGTAGTATATGGCGTGGGTCAGACATAGAATGTATTTTGGCAGAAGACCGATGAGGAAAGAACTGAAATGAAGCGCAATGGAAAATGCATGATGAATGGAATAAGAGAAGAAACAGTGAAGATTGAAACAATTGGTTATTAATTTGCAAATTGACTGTTCATTGTTTGGTTATCAGAATTTACTGAGATAGTCTGTAATCTTTGCTTAAATACATTCGATTGTCCCCAACTAGTGTTTTGTTCACTACAGTAGTAGAAGTAGTAGTAGTATGTGCAAGTTCATTCATTAAATTGAAAAGATAATTTACACTCACGTCGTTTTAACTTAACACACATGATGATCACACGTAATTTTGTCAAGCATAATTAATAATAGTAATAATGATAATAATAGTAACTATAATAGTAATAATGGTAATAATAATAGTACTATTTATAGTAATAATAAAAGGGAACAAACAAACAGTGTTCACTGTTGTTGTAACCATCTGATTTTACTTCACAATTCAGATTGTTTATTTAAATGTAGTCCACTAGAAAAACAACAACAACAATAAGTTAAGTAGGCTTTTAATAGAAGCTTATGTTTTCATAGTTGAAATCATAATTTAATTGAAGGTAGACCACCATGGAAAACATGGAAGCACTGGATGGCTGTTTCGTTTTATTGTGGGACTCCTCAGCAGTGTGTTCATTCTCTTCCTGACTTGAATTAGGAAATTTGTAGCTGCCTTGAAAAATATTCAATCTGAGATATTAGATTTGATTCAGTGTGCTGAAAAGGATAATTTCATCTTTTCTTTGATTGACATCATGAATCGATTAATGTTGGACCATCATGGAAAACCTGGAATCACTGAACTACCGTTCCGTCCTAGTATGGGACTCCTCAGAATCGATCATTCACGATCCCGGACGTTCACTAATGACTAGCTTCGTGAGGGAATGCTCGGAATTCTAGTGAGAAACCATGACTAGTGTAGTCCAATCCGTGTCGGGTAGAGAGAGTAATCTACCTGTTTCATTGAATGGATGGTTCGGTGGGAGTGAGACGCTAACACTGTCGGCTTCTGATTTAGTGGTCTAGAGGAATAGCATGTGACATTCTGTATATACCGTCGTTCTTGTTGTCCTTCTCCACTGAACACTCAAGCACATTTCCATGTGTCGTTTGCAAGCATATATTGTGTTTATTTTGTGGACGTAATTACTTAATGACAATGCTATTTCAAATGTCTGGATATACACGTCTCTGTGTTTATTATGATAGAATTCAATTTATAGTACAACTGATCATACATTGCCTATTTGCATACACAAGCTTACTCTCACTTAAACAATTATATTTGGGAGCAATGATGGATAGTGGCTAGAAGTGGAATCCAGTTTGACGCGTGTTTCGTCCTATTTGAGAATCGTCAGCTACATATACCTGCATCTCAGAATTGATGTTTAGTCTGAGACCCGAACCCAGTACCGTTCACTTCAATTACCATCGCACTATCCAATTAGCTGCAAGTAAACAACACCATGTGAAAATATCTTTGTGGTTAGTGTAAGTCAAAGATCAATATACAACTGACTATTCATTCCCATCAAATGGCTTTCCCTAAGAAGAAATAAAATGATTGATGTACATTGATGTAGCTCTAAAGAGTTTTTTGAAACTGTTTACTTTCTCAATGTTTACAACAAATCCGTATTTTCTGCATTCTTATACTGCTCACTTACATTCAGTAGCCAGCCTCGATATTAACAACTTTTCAGCACGTGGCATGTAATATGTATTCCATAGTTGAAAGCATTAGTTGATTGAAGCCAGACCACCATGGAAAATCTAGAAGCACGTCATGGCCGTTTCGTCCTAATGTTGGACTCTTCAGCAGTGCGGATCCACGATTCTATCTAGTGAGATTCGAATCCACGACCTATCAATCTCGCGTCGGAGTGACAATGTGTTTTTAAAATTTACATGAATTCGTGACATTCAACATATTTACTTCTGTAATTACATCTACTGAATGTTTATGACGGTCATGTCTAGTTTCAGTGTGCCCTTGGAGACTTTAATTTGTTATAATAGTATACACTCTTCTGTTTGTCCGTCGCATTTTCAATAGTTATCTAACTTCGCAGTTTCCACACAGTTCTTAGCTGCTACATAACTTATTGAGTGTTGTTGTACATAAAGTAAATATATACCTTTCAAGATGCATGATTCCTTCGGTGTACACGTGAACCGTAGATACCTCATGCATTGACGTTTGTTATGTATTCCCTATGAATTCCTGACACGGATTTGAAAAATTTAGGTCCTGTGTGTTCAATCTTTTCATAGCATGAGACAGCTCGTCAACATTCTGAGACGACAGATATTCTTCGACTAAACAAGAGAGTTTGACTCACAAAAATCACTCCCCATGCCGAAGGTCGCAGACCCACACCTATCCTGTATCTAAGATGATCTGAAAAACAACCTTTTCGGCACCGCAGTGTGTAAAGTCATTGAGAAAAATAGAATCGCAGCATCACGATTCCTTCAAGGAACCATTATAGGAGCAATCCTCTTCTTTATTTCCGTTAGTGATCTAGTAGTGTTTGTATGAGCTAATGATTCCTTTGTACTTGATGAATACCTCATTTCCGATTGTAAATACAATATGTTCGTTCGTGTTCATCTAATACTTTTTGATTAAATTGCGTTATTTCTGTGATTCATAGTTTCTACTGTAATTCAATTACTTCAAATCATCACATCGGAATCGTGATGGATCCTGTGATGGAACGGTCGTACATACATTCAGATTTCGCTGCTTTCAAGGATCACATGAAAAAGTTCAAAATCTGAGCTGTGGCCAATGAAAATGTTGAGGGTGTTAATATTGTAGCTCATTTCCTTACATTCATCGAAAAAGAACCATGCGGCATATTAAAGTCTCCGGATTTTCCACACAAACCGATCTCACTCCCTTATGCAACACTACAACTACACTATGTAAAGTGCACAAATTTATAATGCAGTGAAGGAGGAAAGTTTCACAAAATGATTTATTGGGACGTCAGCAATTCCACTACTTTACTACGTCGTCGCAATCCAATGTGTAATCAGAGCTACTCAAATGGCGATTCACTGAGGAGTTGCGACACAGCTCACGAACACGGACACACGTTTGGACAACGTTTCTCCTGTGGAAAGTTTCACCCACTTAATTCATGTGTATTTCGTAATTCTAAACGATTTAAATGTGGTGAGATTGGACGGTCGTCCCTCTGTAACTTATACTCAATTTTGTAATTCTGATCGTATTAGGTTGAGTACTTCTAATGATCTTTTATCTTTATCCAAGATTTTGAGAAGCGGCATTACATCACACAGCGGTCCACAGTTGATTGAAATTCCGAGTCAGAAGGATCTAATCCTGATGTCACATCAAATTTTATTTGTCCACACAATGGATTTATCTCAAGTGATATTCCTAATGAATGTAATAAATATGTTCCGAATGAGTCTAATTGTAGTATCATTTCTGATGTTATTGTATCAGATGTTGGATATTCTCTAAACCAATGTGTGTCGAGTGGAATCCCTAATCAGTGGTATGATGAATCAGAGGGAATAGCAAGTCTTTCCGAAGCACTAAGAAAACCTATTTGAACAGTCAGGAAATCAAAATCGAGTCCAAGATTATCTTAATGAGTATCAAGCAGATGCATGTTTTCCATTTGATTGTCTTACAGGTGAATCAAGCTTAGATGAATCATATGTATTAATTATACATATCAATGCATATTAATCTGTGTATTCTAACAAGGGGAATATGTATCATAACTACTATGCAAATCAAAGTCACATGATGGAATGTTTGAAATTATGTGTCAGTATGTAACCTCAAATACTTATGTATAATAATCCAATTGTGAGATATGAGAATTCGTTTAAACTTGGTTCTGTTGTAATGAACGAGAACACATTTGGGGAACAATCGAATGAAATTGAATATGAAATTACAGAACCTCCCTGTAAATTTTGAGAACCATATAGTAAATACTTCATTTGAAAAATATCAGTCAATCAATGGTCTCACACTTTATTGTTCTTCCGTTTCCACAGCAATCATTCTCTGTTGTCGTTCTCATTCTCTCCGATCTTCTTAATCTTCTATCAACACACACTTCAATTTCGATTGATGATACATACTACTACTCGTATCTCTCCATATCAGTAGTACACATCACTCTGGAAATGTTGAACAAATTATTCTGTAATTTATAACTATTATTTAATAATAATATTTGATATTATTTAATGACTAATATGTTATAACGTTGTTTCTTTCTCAAAGAGGAGGCGCCTAGAACAAGAGAGTTTCATTATTTTTTTGTGTAACTTTGTCTGCCAACAGCTTATCATTGTATCATGTTGTATTATAGCAACCATGGCGAGACTAAAGAACATGGACGAGCCAATCAGAAGCTTTCGCGGGTTTTCAAGGTCACGGCGCTAAGTTCGGTACCTGACGCTTACGTACGGTCGGTTTACAAAGGATTCTAGAGAAAACATGATAATTAAGCGTCTACAAGATGTTATCATAAGATTTTGGCGCGAAATTCAATTATATATTTGAATTGAGTTGTGGCATTATAGCTGATGTCAGTTCGTGATGAAAACCCTAAGTAAAATTCATAACCTTAACCATGAACTGTAAATCATAATTTGAATTCTTCACACGGGTTTATAACCCTCATTTAGTCTTAGTTATTACGCTGACACTCTCAGATTCACTCTAGCGTCGCTCAAATGTCGTCCATAATTTATAGTCTCATCTTTAACCCTGAATCGTAACCCTAAAGCTTAACCCTAATCCTAAACCCTAAACCATACCAACATACCGACAACACTGAAACTATGTGGTCGAGGCTGAAAGAATTTTCGGGACTTTATCATGGTTCCAGAGGTCGACTACTATGGAGCCACAGGGACGAGTTCCTATGCGGGA